CCACTTGAGCCACAGGCACCGAGCCGAAAAATGAATTTCTTTTAAAAAAAAAAAGTCCCAGCCTGGGCAACATAGTGACATCTACATAAAATTTTTTTAAAAAATTAAGAAGGTTGGGGCAGCGCCTGTGGCTCAAAGGAGTAGGGTGCCAGCCCCATATGCCAGAGGTGGCGGGTTCAAACCCAGCCCTGGCCAAAAAAAAAAAAAGGAAGGATTGGGTGGCACATGTGGTGCCAGAGGTGGCAGGTTCAAACCCAGCCCCATCCAAAAACTGCAAAAAAAAAAAAAAAAAAAAAAAAAAAAAAAAAAAAAAATTAGGAAGGATGGAGCAGTGCCTGTGGCTCAATGAGTAGGGTGCCAGTCCCACATACCAAGGGTGGAGGGTTCGAACCTGACCTGACCAAACTGCAACAACAACAAAAAAATGGCCAGTCACTGTGGCAGGCACCTGTGTCCCAACTACTTGGGAGGCTAAAGCAAAAGAATTGACTAAACCCAGAGCTAGAGGTTGCTGTGAGCTGTGATGCCATGGCACTCTCCCGAGGGCAACAAAGTGAAACTCTGACTCTTAAAAAAAAAAAAAAAATTTTTTTTGTAAGGAATGGTAATATATATCTACAGTCCCAGCTAATGTAGCTGGGATCCCTTGATCCCCAGGAGTTCAAGGTTATAGTAAGGAACGATCATGCTACTGCACGCTCCAGCCTGGCCAAAAAGTGAAACCTTATCTCTAAAAAAATAATAAATTAAAAAAAAAATTTTAATCCAAATATGGGGGCTCAGTGCCCACAGCACAGTGGTTACGGTGCCAGCCACATACACTGGGGCTGGTGGGTTTGAATCCAGCCCTGGCCTGCTAAACAACCATGACAAAGTGCAACAAAAAAATAGCTAGCGGGTGGCGCCTGTGGCTCAGTGAGTAGGGTGCCGGCCCCTATATATACTGAGGATGGCATGTTTGAACAAGCCCAGGCCAAACTGCAACAACAACAAAATAACTGGGCATTGTGGTGGGAACCTGTAGTCCCAGCTACTCAGGAGGCTGAGGCAAGAGAATTGCCTAAGCCCAAGAACTGGAGGTTTCTGTGAGCTGTGATGCCACAGCACTCTGCCAAACTCAAAAAAAAAAAAACCCCAAGGAACAGTATTTAAAAGTGGGTGGTGCCTGTGGCTCACTGAATAGGGCACCAGCCCCATATACCGAGGATGGCGGGTTTGAACCCAGCCCCGGCCTAACTGCAACAAAAAATAGCCAGAGCTTGAGACTCTGTCTCTTAAAAAAAAAAAAAAAGAAAAAGAAAGAA